GAGGCGGAGGCGGAGGCGGAGGCGGAGGCGGAGGCGGAGGCGGAGGCGGAGGAGGAGGGGGAGGCGGAGGCGGAGGCCGCGGCGGCGGCGGCGGCGGCGGCGGAGGCGGAGGCGGAGGCGGAGGCGGAGGCGGAGGCGGAGGCGGAGGCGGAGGCGGAGGAGGAGGAGGAGGAGGAGGAGGAGGAGGAGGAGGAGGAGGACCCCCTCCCCCTCGAACCTATGGTGATGGAAAACAGGCCCATCATCAAGAGCGCCAAGGTGCCGTCGGTGATGCTCGGCGGGGTCCTCGTGAACCGCGCGCGGCCGTCCCCCGCGGAGCGGTGCTGGGCGGCGGCCATGATGCTGGGGCTCGTGCTGTTCGGTCTAGGCCCGGGCCGCCCGAATCGGGCCAGAGCAGGTGCGGTGGTCGGGGGCGGAAAAGAGGGGGGTGATGACTAGGGGGGTGGATATCATGGCGTGGGCCATGATATTTCCCCAGAGTTCATGGCGCCTCTTCTTATTTCATTGCGTCCCTGGCCCCCCCGCTGGGCCGCGCACATGCCGCCGGTCATGATTTGCACCCCCCCCTCTTGGACACCCCCCTCTTGGCCGCTCCCGAGGTGGGGGGATCGCGGCGGGATCCCGCAGCCCTGCTGCCTCCATCCGACGTCGCTGGTGCTCCGCCGATGCATCGGCAATGCGGTGCGATCCCTCGGCGAGGGTCGGTTTCGCCAGCGGTCGGCTTCGCCGGGGCGGGAGCTTCCTGGGGCGGTTTCGCCCGTGGGGTGTCGCCCTGGGCGGTTCCGTACCTGTTCCGTGCCCCCGGCGGTCGGTCAGTTCTGTGGGGCCCTGGCAGATGGGCGGCCGGGCGGGCGGGCTCGCCAGCACGCGAACCTGTAGGCCGTGACGGACCGGTCGGGCGGGCGAGACCCCAACGGGCGGGCGGTTCGATCGGGCTGTACCCTGCCGGGCGGGCGGGCCAGGGGGGGGGCCCCAGCGGGCGTGCCGGGCGGGCGGGCCCAGCAGGGCGGGTCAGGCGGGCGGTGCGCGACGCGGGCGGGCAGGCTTGCCAGGAGGTGGGCCTGTGGGCCGTGGCGCGCGGGTCGGGGAGACGGGGCCCTCGCGAGCGCGTCGGGCGGTCGGGGCCCGAACGGGCGGGCTGGGCCCCGATGGGCGGGCGGGCCGGGCGGGCGAGAGGCTGAAGGGCGACCTGGGCGGGCGGGGCATTCAAGCGGGCGGGCGGGCTTGCCAGCCAGCGAACCTGCGGTTCGGGCGAAGAAAACTATGCACATGCACCAATCCTGACAACGTCCACCCTTGACCCAGGATCGGTGCATGTACCTTCCTGGCCAAGGCCAGAGGGCGTACGCACCCACCCTGGGCTCAGGATGGGCTCGGCCAGAATCGGTGTATGTGCACACTTCTCTTTCCCCTAGCGATCCGTGACGGACCGGCCGGCCGCGGTCGAAGCCGACCGTGCGAAGCCGACGGGGGAAGCCTGCCTCAGCGAAGCACGCCGAGCAGACCCGCCGCGGGCGGATCCCGCCGCGGGCGAGGCCGACCGCGGGCGGAACCGCCGGGGCGAGGCCCGCCGCGAACCAAGCCGACGGGCTCCGAGCCTTCGGCCCCGTGCGCGTCTGCTGGCCTCGTCTGGGCGGCTGCCGCCAGGGGACCGCCTGGAGTCTCTGCGCTTCAGCCTCTTCGGCGTCCTCCTCCTGCTCGTCAACCTCGTGGGCAGCAGCGCGACCGCGAACCTGCAGCAGAGGGCCCTGCAGGGCGAGCGGCGCCCCCGGGCCGGCGGCTGCGGAGAGGAGGTCGTCGGGCGGGGCCAGGGCGCGGATCAATCCGCTCCAGAGCGTTCCAGAGCTCAGTAGCGAAAGACGGGCGTACACGGACATGAATCCACGTTGGTCTCGAGAGTACGAGAGTACGCATTGCGCGAACGCTCGTATGATGCGGCCAGTCTCGCGGGTTGGGGGACCGTGTTCACTCACGTGGGTGGGCGCGTACGTCCCTCGTGGGCTGCCAGAGAACGCTCTCGGAGCGTCCTGGAACGCTCTGAGAAGGCCGCGGCGCCCGAGACATCCACCAGAGCCGCGGGATCTCAGAGATTCTCGACTTCTATCCTCGTCCGAGTTGGTCCTCGTCCTGGCCTCGTCTGAGGTCGAGTGCCTGATGCTCGCCCAGTACGCGGTCTCCGCCGCACTGCTGCTGGCCGTGGCGGCGCTGACTGGCGAGCTGGGCGCGGCGGCCGCGTGGTATGCGCGCCAGGGGCCCGGCGCCGCGGTCGCCACGCTGCTTGACAACGTCCTCTCCTACGCCGGGCTCGAGGGGGTCATGCGCATCACCGCCGAGTTCGACTCTACTCGGGCCAACGTCGTGTGCTCCGCCAGGAAGGCGCTTACGTTCTGCTTCTCCTATCGAAGGCGCCTGCGTTGAATCGCCGCCGCCCCCTGCTTGTTGGAAACGCCCGTGCGGCCAAGCGTTGGGCTGGGAGCCTCTTGGGGGTCTCCGAGGGGCCTCTTGGGTCCTCTTGGGGGCCTCGTGGGTCTCTGGGGGTTTCCAAAGAACCTCTTGGCCTTCGGAGGCCGTCTCGGGGCCCTCTCTGCGCAGTCGTGGGTCCCTCTATTGGCGTTATAGGTCCGTCTTGGAGGTCTCTGGGGCCGTCTTGGGGCCGTCCTGGGGGCCATCTTGGGGCCGTCTTGGAGCCCTCTTGGGCCGGCTTGCGGGCCTCTTAGGGGCCTGTTGGGCCTTCTTGGGGCGATTTTGGGGGCCGATGGGGCCGTCTCGGAGCGTCGGAAGCTCGAAAAGGAGAGAACGCTGAAAGATTGAAAAACGAACGGAACTCGTAGATATTGGCCTCCTGGGAGGTCCTGTTGGAGCCCTCTTGGGGACTTCGGGACCTCTTGGGACATCCAGAGGACATCTTGGGCCGTATCGGGGCCAGCTTGGCCATCTTGGAGGCGTCTAGGGACCGTCTTGGAAGCCATCTCGGGCCATCTTGGCCGTCTTGGAGGCATCTTGGAGGCCATGCCATCTTGAGCCATCGGGGCCGTCTTGGAGGCGTCAGGGGCCTCGCCTCCCAGGGTGCCCTGGGTTTCGATGGCTTTCCGACGGAAGGCGTGGCGCCCCCACTCCCAAAATCAATGGACGCCCTGGGGTGTCAGGGTTGGGCTTCTCGTGGAAGGAAGGTTCTTTTGTGGTCGAGCTCCTGTGTAAGTATCGGCGGCGAGCGAGGGAGGGAAATGCGAAGGAGAAGGCCTTCGCAAAAGGCGGCGGAACTTCTCAGCAGCCCTCGTGCCCTCCGATAAGCTCTCTGTGCGCTCGGAGCAGGCGTCGAAACCTTCTCCGAGGGTCGTGGGACTTCCGAACCTGCTGAGAAGGCCTTCTCCTTCTCGCTTCCCCCCCATCGCCCGCCGCCGAGTAAGCAAGGGGGGGGGGGCAGGGCGCCAGACTGGATGAGCCTGGCGAGCTTTCGGCCTTCAAAGGGTTTAAAAGCCATCGTCCCCCCCCCCCCCTTCACCAATCCTCCTACCTACTCCCCTCCTCCTCTGCCTGTCCTCCCCTCCTCCCCTCCCTCCTCCTCCTTCCCTCCTCCTCCTCTCCTCCTCCTCCTCCTACCTCCTCTCCCTCCTCCTACTCCTCCTTCTCCTCCTCCGCCTCCTCCCCATGTCCTCCCCTCCTCCTCCCTCCCCTCCTCCTCCTCCTCCTCCTCCTCCTCCTCCTCCTCCTCCTCCTCCTCCGCCTCCTCCCAGAGCCGCGGGATCTCAGAGATCCTCGGCTGATATTCTCGTGGGCAGCAGCGCGACCGCGAGCCTGCAGCAGAGGGCCCTCCATGGGGGAGCGGCGCCCCCGGGCCGGCGGCTGCGGAGAGGATGTCGTCGGGCGGGGCCAGGGTGCGGATCAATCCGCTCCAGAGCGTTCCAGAGCTCAGTAGCGAACGACGGGCGTACACGCACATGAATCCACGTTGGTCTCGAGAGTACGAGAGTACGCATTGCGCGAACGCTCGCATGACGCGGCCGGTCTCGCGGATTGGGGGACCGTGTTCATTCACGTGGGTGGGCGCGTACGTCCTTCGTGGGCTGCCAGAGAACGCTCTCAGAGCGTTCTGGAACGCTCTGAGAAGGCCGCGGCGCCCGAGACATCCACCAGAGCCGCGGGATCTCAGAGATTCTCGACTTCTATCCCCGTCCGAGTTGGTCCTCGTCCTGGCCACGTCCTGGCCTCGTCCGAGTTGGTCCTCGTCCAGCGCAGATCCAAGAAATCGGCGCGCAGCGCTAAATGTTTATGTTTATGGCGTTTTTTTTTTGAATCCTGCAAGCCCCTGGCGCTCACAACTGTTTACAGTCGAGTTAGATGCTCGTTTTTGGGACCCTCCTGAAGCCCACCTAACCAACGGATCTATTCGACTCTACTTCGGCTCCAGTTCGGCTCTACTTTGGCTCAGGTTCGACACAGTTTCGACACAGGTTCGACTCAAGTTCGACTCAAGTTCGACTCCAGTCGACGGACGTTCGACGCAGCTTCGACGCACGAGTAGAGCGAGTGGCTCCGGGAAGGTCCAAATCAAGAGGCGCTGCAATGAGGAACAGTTTGGGTTCGGAAGGGGCTCGATGTTCCTCAGGCCAATCCATGGCCGTTCCTCTTGCCCGCCTCGGGCACGGAGGCGCTCTCGGGGCCGAAAAGGGGCCTCGTTCCTTGCTCGGCGTTTCTCCTTTCGGCGGCCCGGCTGTGTGGTAGGTGTTCCTCCGCGGACCCTCTGTCGAACGCAACCGCCCAGCTTCAGGAGGGAAAGAAACACACAGACACAATTAATCGTCGACTCCCAGGAAAATATAGGAAAATATGGGAAGTGGGGGGGAAGACAAAAACCCAGAAAATATGGGAAAATATGGGGGATATTTTTATTTGTGTGTATTTATTTGTGTGTCCCAGTTCCCCTTCACAGCTCTCGCGCCGCAGGCCGCTGGCAACCGCCGAGTGACCGCCGGACGCGCGCCAGAGGCCGCCGAAGGCCGCCGAAGACCGCCCGAAGGACCGCCGGCAGGCCGCCGGCGGGCCGCCGGAGCCCGCCCGGGGCCGATGGCCAACAGACACCGAGCGCGCTCCGCTGCTCGCAAAGTGCCTGCTCGCAGAGGCTCGAAGACCGGGCCGAACGGAAGGGGGGGATAGGGACCCTGACCTTCCAGGAGGGCTAAAAAATAGCACCCGATCTAAAAACCTATCCCAGAGCTATTCTACGTCTTGGTTTTAGGCAGTTTCGTTTAGTTTTTTAGGTTTTTAGATCTCCAGTGCTAAAAAATAGCTCTCTGGAAGGTCAGGGGAAAGGGGGGGGTACGAAATCTGCTGCATGCTGCTGGTTTCAGCCCCACCGAGGGGCCCATTCCTCGATGCGTGGCCGCCTCCGGCGCCGGGAGGCGCCGGGAAAATCAGCTACGTGAGCTGATTCTGAACCCCCCCCTTTGCTATCCCCCCCTTTCGCCCGGCCCGAGAAGAGCACATGCCTGCTCCGGTGTGAGGTGTCGTAGAGCGCCCGCGGCGGATCCAGGCCACTGGCGAGCAGTGGCTCTGCGAGCCGTGGAGCGCGCTCGCCGAAACCAGGGTAGGGTTCGCACGTGGTCCCCTAGTAGAGCGCCCGCGGTGGATCCAGGCCACTGGCGAGCCGTGGCTCTGCGAGCCGCGGAGCGCGCTCGTCCAAGCGAGAGCGAGGGGGGGCCCCCTTGGCCGAGCGCGCAGTGCGTGCGAGCCGCCGGGCGCTCCGTGCTCCCGGGGCGCCCCCGGGGCCCGGGGCGGGCCTCCCAGAGGCCGAGAGGCGAGGAGGCAGGGCTGCCAGAGGAGCAGAGAGAGACATCCACCTCGGAGAGCTGGGACCTCGAGGATGAGGAATGGTGGTGGTGGTGGTGGTGGTGATGATGGTGGTGGTGGTGGTGATGGTGGTGGTGGTGATGATGATGGTGGTGGTGGTGATGGTGGTGGTGGTGATGGTGATGATGATGCTGCTGCTGATGATGATGATGGATGAGGTGGTGGTGGTGGTGGTGGTGATGGTTGATGGTGATGTGGTGGTGGTGGTGTTGGTGGCGATGGTGGTGGTGATGGTGGTGGTGGTGGTGATGATGGGGATGGTGGTGACGGTGGTGATGGTGTTGATGATGGTGGTGGTGATGACGCTGATGATGATGATGGTGGTGGTGGTGGTGGTGATGATGATGATGATGATGATGATGATGGTGGGACCGTGCCCGAGCCACAGGGCACGCCCTGCTCGAGGCACGGCGGCGGACCTCTTCTTCGCCAAGCCCTTCGGCGCCCTCCACGCGGCCGGGCTGCCGCTGGTGCTGGCGGGCGGCGCCGGGCTCCACCGCGCGGGCGCCGCGGGGCGCGCGGGCGATGCGCGGGGAAAGGCACCGGGCAGCGAGGAGGAGGAGGAGGAGGAGGAGGAGGAGGAGGAGGAGGAGGGTAGGAGGAGGAGGAGGAGGAGGAGGAGGAGGAGGACAAGGACCCCTTCCCCCTCCTACCTCATGGTGGTGGTGGTGGTGGAAAACAGACCCATCAGTGTATGCAGGAGGGCGTGGCGTGCACACCGCTGCTGGGTTCAGGATTGGGTTTGGCCAGGGAGCAGTGCATACACGTATAGATTTCGTTGCCCTACCTGGGGCCGCCTCTCTCGCCCCCAGCCTTAAGTCGGGCCTGTCCCTCTACAGGAGGAATACTCCCAAATAGTCAAAAATAGTATGGGGCTCAGAGGTCGTGGGGCGCAGCGCTGGGGTCAGGACGAAACGGACGCCAAGAACGCTTTGGCCCATGGTCCTGACGCCTAGGAGGAGGAGGAGGAGGAGGAGGAAGGAGGAGGAGGAGGAGGAGGAGGAGGAGGAGGAGGAGGAGGAGGAGAGGAGGAGGAGGAGGAGGAGGAGGAGGAGGAGGCAAAGGCACCTGCAGCGACCGGGGCAGGGGGCGAGCGGCGTGGAGGCCGGCGTCCTGGGCCGTCCTCGCTCGGTCTGCGCTCTGCAGCATGGGGCGGAGCTGAGGGCGAGGAGGAGGAGGAGGGGGAGGAGGAGGAGGGGGAGGAGGAGGAGGACGGGGAGGAGGAGGAGGAGGAGAGGGAGGGGGAGGGGTCGAGCAGTGTGGATTGAATAATAATAATAAGAATGATAATAATAATAAGGATACAAGAATACTAATAATACTAGTAGTACTAGTAATACTAATAATAATAATAATAAGATGAAGACGAACAATAATAATATCAATAATATTAATAATATTAGTACTACGACAATTAATAAACATAATAAGAATACTAAGAATCATAATACTACTAATAATAATACTAATACTGATAATAATGATAATAATGATAATACTAATAATACTAATAATACCAATACTAATAATAATAATAAGAAAACGCATGCACATAAACTTTCGGCGCTCCGCGCGGATTTCCTGGGTCTGCGCTGGGCCCCCCTGGCGGCGCCTCCGGCGCCGCCCCTGGCGCGCCAGGGAGGGGGGTCCAGAACAGATCCAGGAAATCAGCGCGCCGCGCCAAACGTTTATGTGTATGTGTTTCTTCTTCTTCTTCTTCTTCTGGTCGAGGCGATGTCGCGGGCCGTCGTCGTTCGGATGGCGTTTTGCAGTAGAGGCAGAACCGAAGACAGAACGAAAGCGAAGACGAAGAATCAAGCGAAAGCGAAGAACGATAACAAAACGAAAAACCGAGGGAGGGCGAAGACAACACGAGAACGAAGAGCATTGTTTGAGGACCTATCCCCCTGCGCCCAGGCGCGTGCGCGCCGCCCCCCCCCCCCCCCCCAGAGGGGCCACGCGGCGCCGGAGGGGGTGGCGGGCCGCCGATTTGGTCGGCCGAAGCGGGGTCGAGGCTCGGGAAGCCAGGGGCGAGGGTCGGCGCCCCATCGAGGCTCGGCGGCTCGAGCCGAGGGCTAGAGGAGGAAGGATTGCGAGGACGAGGACGAGGCTAGAGGATCGAGGCTGAGGCTCGAGCTCGGCAGGAGAGGATCGAGTATCGACGATCTTGGCGACACTTGGTTTGAGCGGGAGCAGGGAGTGGCTGAGGTTTTCATAGTCGGCGTTTTCGGAAATTAGGCGGAAGGGGGGGGGTGGGTGGAGGAGGGGTCTGCTCAAGAACCTCTGCTCAGTGCGGATGTTTTTGCGAGTGGCGTTCCGTTGTTGGGGGTGAGGGAGGCTCCACCTGCTCGAAGCAGGCGCCCAAAACAAGCCAAGAATCTGCTCCAGGGGGGGGGGGGGGAGGGGTGCGAGGGCCCGAGCCGATCGGCCGAACAACAAATAAAAGCACGACCACGTGGGCCTCCTGGATGCCCTCAGGCGGAGCCCTCTCAGCAGCTCCCGGCCCCTCCTGGGAAGCCGCCGCCTCCCCCGCGGGCCTGCCCGGGTCGGGCGGCGCGGTCGGCACGTGGCCGCTGCCCCCCTGGGCTGGGCCCTGCCCGGGTCCAGGGAGCTGTGTATTCTGGGCCTGTTTTCCACCATCACCATACCTTGGAGGGGGGGAGGAGGAGGAGGAGGAGGAGGAGGAGGAAGGAGGAGGAGGAGGAGGCGAGGAGGAGGAGGAGAGGAGGGAGGAGGGAGGAGGAGGAGGTTTTGGAGGAGGAGGAGGAGGAGGAGGATTACCCCAAGGTCTACCCCAAGCTGACTCAGTCAGACCACACTACACGGCGCGCCTGCGGAGGCACAGCTCACAGGTGGAGCAAATGCCGCTGCCAGCAACCTAAACTCCGAGCTCGGCCCCTGAGGAGCTTCCCTCGGGGCCGTCACACCACGTTCCAGGACTGCCACAATGAGGGAGCCTGGGAGCACGGCTGCCAGCGGCGAGCAGGACGGGCCCGAGGGCCTCCTCAACCTCCTTGCTGGCCATTGCTAGCTGCGGGGCCCTGATGTCCCCGCGTCGCAACTGGACGCTACGAGAAGATTGGATTGAGAAGGCCAGCGTTACTCTTCACCACGAGAACGGCTACTGCGCCCGCCGAAGAACAGGAAGCGGGACGAAAACTATAGCTGCATCATTAGGATTTCCCCATATTGCACCAGTGTCAAGTACGGGGTTGCCGACGCCCTCACGTCGCAACCAACTGGGACGAACTTCCCTCTCGGCCTTGGCCGTCGGGATTTCTTTTCACACTTACTGTCGGGGAGGAGGGTGGGCGAGAAGGAGGAAGCGCCGTGAAACGTGAGCCCCAACGCTATCCTGCCGCTGCCCTCCATCACCTGCGACCTGCTCTTGGCGTCGACAGCGCCCTTACGCAATGCCTGAATATCCCGCTGTGCGTGTCGGAGAACTCTCCAGGAATCCTCCACGATGCCACAATGTGGCCCCGATCCTTTCAACCCGACGAGCCCGAATCAGCAGCAGGCGGGGCGGCGCGCCTGCTCGTCGGGCTCCGCGACGAGAGGGGGGCGGGCGGCGGGGGCGGCAGAGAAGCCAGCGATTCGTGAGCACGATCTCTCGCTACCGTTCTCAAGACAGCCTCCCCCCCCGCCCTCTCCACCAGCCGCTGATTGGCTGCAGCAGTGGCTGCGGCAGGAGCTCGCCTGGAAGGGAACAATCCCTTCTCCAACCTTGAGAGGTTCTCGACCCTTTTCTTGGTAGGAGGGCGACATGGATCGGCAAGCCATCGACCATCGACGGTAGCCGTACATCCACATGCACGGCAAAAGAACAAGTTAAAGTCTTCCCAGAACATCACGGTGTGTGAAACGTGACTGACTTTCGTGCCTATCTGGACCTGTCCCTCCACGACCGAACGAAAACGACTCCAACCGACTCTTTCTCTTGGTCCACGGCACTGGGAGGCAGCGAATGAAATGATGTGGGCCGCTGGTACTAATTGCTCGCACCCTGAACATCTGTACCGCCCACCGCACTTCTCGAAGCGATGTGATGTGGCCGCAAGCGCTCTCTCAACTCTATTCGACGGCTTCGCACGAGATTTGCCTTCCCTGGTGGCTTGCCAAGGGTCGGCTGCTAACGAACCTATGAGCGCTCTGCGGGCCCTCTTCCTAACCAGAGCAGCGAAGCAATCTACTTGGCCGGTGTGAGGGATAGGCCGCTGGAGATGTGAATCCCAACCCCTCTCCGCCGCCTCACCCGCCCAATGATCCGCGCACATGTTGCCACAGGTTAAAAAAATCAACTGAGACGAGGTGAGAGCTACATTTTCATCCTCAAGATGAGCGGCAGTCCAATGGAGGCGAACTTCGCCCTCACCCCGATGCTTCAAAGCTACTGCTACCCTGTGCCAGAGGTTCTGGTTAGGTCCTTTTTTTCCCGTGCGCTCTGCCAGCTCTTCATCCATCTAGGACTGGCTGACAATCGGTAACATGCACTATGGGCCCCGCTGTCTCTTCTAAAGCCATAGCTAACGCAGCTACCTCAGCTCTCGGCGCCGTTTGGCGCCGTCCGAGAAGCGGGGCCGGAACTCCAGCTGCTGGCCCCCGAGCCCCTTCACGCCCCTGGAGAGCAGCAGTCGCAGACCCACATCTCCTGCGCCGTGGATCCGAGGAATGTCGCCCCCCAGAGCCGCCACCGAAAACGTACAAGGGCTCTTGCCCTGGCGGCGCACAGAAGGATCGGAAATCTGCGTTGCCGTGGTGCAAGGGAGGGGAGTCCTCTAACGGGTCGAGGGAAGTGGGGGTGGTGAGGCTGCGGCCAGGCACTCCGCGCAACCATAAAGACGGGTCGCTTTCCCACTGGCTCTGCGCTTGTGGAACCAACATCTGCGTTTTGTCGTAGTCCTCATGGTTGCGATTGGCGGGGCAGGACCATGCCCGGTGATAGAGAGACTCATCTTCGCCCAGACAGCGCGGGCACATGGCTGGCACAGCATGGCCTGTTTCTATCTGTCGAGCTCGAGGCCGCTGCCCCCCTGCTTCTACACACAGCGTGAGGCTCCACAAATCTAGTTGACCTTTGCGCTCAAAGCGCTTCAGTTCTCTCATCACTTGGTGGAGGCCGGCTCCTTCCGCGAGGCTCTCGCCTGCAGGGTGGAAAGCTGCCTTCCGCCAAATCTGCTGATTCAAATCAGCAACCAGGTCATCTAACAGCTCAGAGTGATCTGAAGTACCAGCTAGCTCAAAATCGGGGTCACCCTCCCTAGGAAACCGCCAGGCATCTTGGGCCGCCGCTGGCCTTTCCCAAACATCGGGCTCCTTCGGGCTCCATCCCGCTTGGAAAAGGGTGGCTTGGATGGCCGCGATCGGTCCCTGGGCGCCCTTCCAGTTGACGGTTCCCTTAGGGGAAAGGAGGCGACTCTTGACGCGATGCCAGGATCTGCGAATGCGAGACTGCAAAGAGGGAACTTGTTTCCATAAGCTGATCCATGAGTCCACTAGCTGAAGACTAAGCTCGACTCCTGCTTCTCCTACGCTTGGCAT